AAATTGGCCATCAGATATACAAACACTGCAGATAATTTCTTTCTTTTCCATGCTTTCCTTTTTCTTCCTTGTCGTTTGCCGTCGATAACCGGACGATCTCCTCTCACCGGTAAGGTTGTAATTAATATGTTAAATTATTCGTCAGATTCAGAAAACCTGGTCAACTTTAGGAACCGATGTCGGAAGGACTGTAACGGGGTTACGAACGGCCATATGCCGGCGATCTCGTACCTGACCTTCGGGCAACCAGAAATATATAAAATTTATATCTTTCGAGAGACCCCTTCTCAAGAAAAATGTTGATGATTTTGTATTAGTTTCGGGCTGTGTGTGCTGTATTTGTCGTGTGTGTGTGTGTGTTGTGTTTGTTTCTGAGGTGTGGAGGTTGTATGTGCGTGATTCGGTAGCACGATTTGTTTTTCCTGTGTGTGTCTTTTGCTCTTTTTGTGTTGAATTTGAGTCCCGAGTAAACTAGCTGATGTGGTCACTAACTGAAATTGTAGACGTGGTGTGAGAGTATGTAGTTTGGGGCTAAAGTGGTAGAGTCTGAAAGGCCTTTAGCGTCCTTTTTGCGAATGTGATATTCTCTCAGGCTTCATTATACTTTCTCAAAATTGTTGTCAATAAGTTCCACTTCACGCTGTTCGTCTCTTCTTAGTTTTTCTTTTTTGTTTTTGTTTTTTTAACCCTTGCCATGTTACAGTTTATTCTTGGTGTCTTCATGGTACTTGTAGTTTGGTCTCGTGTGTTTCTGTAGGCTAAAAAATTACCCAATTACCTATTTTATCTGAAAAGTTGTGTTCAAAATACGAAGACTACGTCCAACTGCCGTCTAGTTTGGCAGCAACAGTGTTTTTTCTGTTTGTAGGTTGTTTTCACCCTTTGAAACTCTTGTTTGTGCTTGAAGTCTGAATAAGAGTTTTAGATGTGCGTCTTGAGACTGTATTGGAGCTGAAATCACATCTTGTTTTCTATTTGAAGTTATTTTTAAATACAAACATTTCGCGTAGTTGTTTACGATCAGATTTTCAGCACCATGTCTGTTCTATTTTGTCTCGTTTTCACCATTTTTAACTTGCCCGTCCGTGTTTGGAGTCTTCATAATAGTTTTAGTTCAGTACCTTATCTTTTTGTTCCTTCAGGAATCAGCTTGATAACTATTTTATGAGAAACATTTTGATGAAAACAGAAATCCTGCACGAAGTTGACGTGTGGCTTGTCCTACTTCTTCCTTGGGGAGTGTAGCTTTGCCCTTGTTTATGACATTTGGTTCCACAAAATGAGTTCATATTGAGCAGAGCCCGAGTTTGATCCTAATAGTAAGGGTTTGCACGCCACATTATATTTTCAGGAAAACTTTATGAAACTTGTACCGTGTAATACCCTGTCTATTGTAACTTTATAAAATTTGTACCGTGTAAATGCCCCTTGTCCCATACCTAAGACCGGCTATTCCCATATTCGCTATCTTGGAGTTCCCCGAACCAATTTAAAATTTTATATTTGATATTAACTATTTGGGATTGTTGTTGTTTAGAACGCTTCTCTTATAGTGCCCTCTCTCTTTTAACATAGTTTGATATAGTTGACTTGTATATAATATTCTTATATTCGTTTTACGGTGTGACATTCAATAGCTGTTGGATGATTATATTGCTGGTCTTTTGATATCTTTGTGATGTAATTGTTGAAAATTCCTGGCTGCTGTATTAGAATAATTATTAATAGTGTCTTTTTTCTTAATAAGTATCAGACCTTACTGCACAATGCTAAAATATTTGCTTGGTTGGTGTGGTTTACAGAATCAAAATGCAATTGAACAATAAATTCTGCTGAAGTTACTTATTTTTACAGAACGGGGTATTCATTTTATGTCAATTTTTCTTTTCAGGTGCTTTAACAGGCTCGCTTGACCTTAAGATGTCTCAGCTTCCAGTTTTGAGGTCAAGTTTTCATGGAATGAAGGTTCATTAATACATTAGTTGCCCTTTCTTTAAGCATTTTAACTTTTGTGTTAAGCATTTTAATTTTTGTATTTTGTCATTAAGAGGTGGCCTGGTGCTAATAAATCATCTCTTCACTAATTCAGTTTCCTTGTAGATGATGTTCTGTAGGAACCTAATTTGGTAGCATTTCCATCAAGAGTGAATAGAAGTTCAAATCTAAGAGGAAATCATCCAAAAACCTTTCTGATTTCCCTGCCCTGCTCCTCCGTATTTGTGATAGTGATTGGGAAGATAAAATCCATTCCTCGTTGAAATTATTGCTTCTGAAAATCTTGTTGCACTCTGATCTTGAATGTTTGATAAAGTGAAGTACTTCTACAACAGTTGCAATGAGATGGAATACAAAGATGAAAATGAACAAAGGAGGTAGATAACTATTATTAAAGTCTTTAATGAAGAGGTAATTTCCTTTGGTTTAACTGTAGATCCTCTTCTCATAAACACTTTTGGACCATTCATATGAATTGCGTGGATCAAATATGTAAAAATTGTTAACTTTTTGTGTATTTAGCCTATAAGCTAATTCTGATTTCCTGATTTACTTGCTCTTGTAAAAGAACTAAACTGTAGATGCTCTGATCAATAGTCTGAAGATTAATCGCAATTTGCAGGTCGGCTGTGTGCAGATCAATCCTATTCCCAGAACAAGACCTCAGACTTTGTCTTGTGCATATAAAAGGCCTCACAACAGTCGTAAAACGAAGAAACAAGAACCGTTACCTCAGAATGTGGATCTCCCACAGATACTTCCTCGGAAGAAGAAGAAGCCATTCGCCATTCCAATCAAGCAGATTCAGCAAGCTGGAAGAGCCGATAAGAAGCTTGCACAGATGGGAATCGAAAAGACTCTCGAGCCCCCCCAAAACGGACTTCTGCTACCCAATTTGATTCCCGTAGCTTACCAAGTTATCGATGCTTGGAAAGTTTTGATCAGAGGAGTTGCACAGCTCATGCATGTTATTCCTGTCCATGCTTGTAGGTAACAAGAAA